AGTAATATCAAAAGGATTAATAGAAGTGAGAGAATGTAAAGTGCTTCTTAGAGCCTTATAAAAGTAATATCAAAAGGATTAATAGAAGTGAGAGAGTGTAAAGTACTTCCTATAGCCTTATAAATACCTTCACACCTCACAAAAGATAAAGAACTCTCTCTCTTGGGTGCTTACCTCTATATTGTGCCCCTACTCTTTTTAAGGAGTCGTAAGTATAAAATATTATTGGCATAGCCATCAAAGTATTTATCTCAGAGGACAACCTTCCAGCAGTGGCAGAACCAAGATTTTTCCTTAGGTAGGGCTTCCCTATTTCATCACTTTTTGAATTTAGCTTTTTGAATTTAACTTTTATATAGAGTTTTATTTGAACATTTTATATAATAAATAAATAATTTTTTTTTTTTTATCAGCAAAACAAAATTTTTATTAAATGGAGCACAAGGGGTGCTCCTGCCCTTCTACAGAATAATGAAAAAACTTATACTCCCAACAAAAGCAAAAAAGGAACTCCCACAGAAAACATGCTGGCAACCCCGAAAACCACCTCTAGAAACCAAACTGCTAGTTCATCACTCCCGTGACCATCTTTCCGTGAAGTTGCCCATACAGCCAATGCACTTAATTGGGAAAAAGATGTTGCTGTTGCTTAGTGAACAATTTGAGAAACCTCTTGTAACTCTTCAGCTCCTTTGCACATTCCCTAGGATTACTTTGCCACTGAGCTAATGGGAAAACACACCCATGGACCTTATTCCTAATCCAGAAATAAGACTTAACTTTAATTAACTCCAGCAGTTGCTCTTTTAGCTCCCCATTGCTCCTAAATACCAAAGTATTCCTCCAGAACCATAAATACCAAGAGGTGACCAAAAAAAGACAAGCACCCACCTCCTTACCCCCCACACTACCCACACACCACAGGAATAAATCCACCACACCCCTGACTGTATCCGGCATTACCACTTCCACACCCCACCACTTAATCACCATCACCCATACTAACCAAGCTTCTTTACACGTGCAAAACAAATGATTAACATCCTCCACACCCTCTTTGCAAAGCCCACACACTATACCATCCTCTTGTAAAACCACCCCTCTCTTTCGCAAATTCCATCTTGTGGGAAGTCTATCTAGACACAACCTCCACCCAAAAATCCCCACTTTAGAAGGCACCATCTTACACCATATAACTTTGCATAAGTGTTTCTCCAGCAAGCGGTCCTCAGGAGCTAAATATTCATATGCTGTCTTGACTACATACCTCCCTTCTACCTCGTACCTCCACTGCCATGCATCTTCCACTACCTTCCTTAACCTTATGCTCGCCAACATCACCCCCAACCCGTTCTCCTCATCTTTTTCGCGACCCATCCTCTCTCTCCTCCACTCTATTCCCCATTTCCACCTTTCCCCAACCCATGTACCATTTTCCTTTACCGAACCCTCCTTGTTGATAGCTAATTGAAAAAGCCATGGAAATAAATCTCAAAGAGATTTATTCCCCACCCAAATATCTCTCCAAAAACACACCCGACAACCCTCCCCCACCTCCCACCGGAAACCATGCCTTAATATATTTTTTAACTTCTCTGATTTCCCACCTATTCTAATAATGTCTCCCCAAATCTGCGACACCCTCAAATTCGCCACATCAATAATACCCACCTCTTGCTTGCCCTCATAGAATTTTTCTTTTACTACCCTTTTCCACAACCCCTCCCTTCCATCCCCTAATCTATACCACCATTTCCCTAATAGCGCCCAATTTCTCCGACGCAGATCCGGAACCCCTAAACCTCCTTGCTCCTTACTCCAACAAATAGCTTCCCACTTTACCCACGAAATCTTTCTTTTCTCCCCTGCACCCCCCCCACAAAAAATCCCTTTGAATCTTGACTAATTGAGCAAGCACAGAATTAGGCATATTAAATAAGGACATAAAAAAAGTAGGAAGTGCAGAGAGTACCGAGTTTAGCAACGTTAGACGCCCCCCGAAGGACAGCAAGGCAGACTTCCAGACGGCTAGCTTTTGGCGAAATTTACTAACAACCGGAATCCAAAACTTCTTACACCTTGGATTACCTCCGACAGGCATTCCCAAGTAAACAAAAGGTGTCTTCCCCACACTACAATGCAACACTCCTGCCGCCCCTCTCACCCAACTGTCCAGCGTGTTAAAACCATACACACAGCTCTTGCTGAAATTAATCCGCAATCCCGACATCAACTCAAACCACCTTAGAATAGCCTTTACCGTGAGGATATTTTCTTTGCTTGCCTCACCCAAAATAACTGTGTCGTCTGCAAACTGTAGCAATGAGACCGCCAACCCCCTCCTACCCACCTTTGCCCCTTGTAGCATACCTTCATTCTCTGCTTTTTTCACCAGTCCATGCAATGCCTCTCCAACCATCAAAAATAAAAAAGGAGACAAAGGGTCTCCTTGCCTGAGCCCTTTCCCCATTTCAAACTCCTTGGTCGGACTACCATTTACCAATACCGACATCCAGGCAGTGGATAGACACTCCTTAATCCACCCTCTCCATTTTTCTCCAAAACCAAACGCTCCCGACATCCAGTCCAAAAACGACCAGTTAACACAATCGTAAGCTTTTTGAAAATCAGCCTTGAAGACAAAAGCTGGTTGCTTCCTCTTGCGAACCTCGTCCACAACTTCGTTTAGAACCAAAACACTATCAACCAATTGTCTTCCCCCTACAAAAGCCGATTGCGTTTCGCTAATAATCACCGGCATCACCTCCTTAAGCCTATTAGCTAACACCTTTGCTAGCAACTTATACATACAGCCAATTAAACTAATAGGCCTAAAGTCTTTTAACTCCCTAGGGCTCAGTTTCTTCGGGATTAAAGTAAGAAAGGACGAATTCAAACCCCTCACTAACCTGCTGTTTTGATGAAACTCTCGAAAAAAAGCAATAAAGTCTTCTCTAACACTACTCCAGATGAATTTGAGGAGATTAAAGTTATACCCATCAGGTCCCGGAGCTTTATTTCCTTCACAACTCTTCAAGCCTTCATCAATCTCCTCCTCCGTGAAAGGCCTTTCAAGCCAATCCTTCTGATCTTTCGAAATTCTCCGGAACTCCAAGTTTGAAGGAATGGGTCGGTTCCAATCATCCTCTTGAAACATATTGCGGAAGTGCTTCACCATCTCATCCTTTACCATCTCTGGATCCTCTACCCACTGTCCGTCAGACCATAATCCCGAGATACTATTGTGCGCCTTTCTCCCATTTGCGATTTTGTGAAAATATCTCGTGTTCTGATCCCCCAGTTTAACCCAATCACTTCTAGATTTTTGCTTCCAAATAGCCTCCCTTTTCCACATAATATCCCATAACTGCTGGAAGCCTTCTTTCCTTAGATCCACCTCCTCCTCCGCCAAATCCATCACTTCATTCTTCAAATCAATCTGTTCTACACTCTTGACCACCTGTTGAAAATGTGTTTCCATGTTTCCGAATACTTCCTTATTCCATCCTTTTAAAAAATCCTTCAACCGCTTAAGCTTCTGTTTACATCTATGTCCCGCATACCCTTCCTCCACTAACTCCTTCCATTTGTCCTCAATCACCTTCTTGAATTGCGGGTGCTGCTGCCAAGCATCCAAAACTCGGAACGGTTTTGGTCCCCAATCAGCTACTGATGTTTTGACCACAATAGGGCAATGATCAGACACAGTCCTCTTCAGTCCATGCTGTACCCATCCCTTTCCCGAACTATACATCGCACCAGACATGAGGACTCTATCCAAACGACTCATAGACGACCCATCCGGTCGATACCATGTAAAGCGTCTATTTGCCAATTGAATATCTACCAAACCAGTTGACACAACAAAATCATCAAACTCCCTCATATCCTGAGTCTCCCCTGACCTACCTTTCCTCTCGCTGGGACACCTCACTGCATTAAAATCCCCTGCAATCATCCATCTCCCTTCCTCTTCCAATATCATATGCCGAAGATCATTCCACAGTGTCAATTTCTTCTGCCTGTCATTTGAGGCATAAACATTCACAAAATTGCACTTCAACTTCTGAGGTCCCCATTCTCCGCTAATCCGCAAGAACCCATTACCCGAGATGACCCCCTGTTTTACAAACTCAAACCAATTCCATATACACAATAAACCACCGAAGGCTCCATTCGATTCCTTCATCTCCCAATCATAATCATCTGAAAACCACAACATTTTACATAACGCACCCTCTACCATCTCCAATTTTGTCTCCTGTAGAAACAAGAAATCGGGTCTCTCTGCTCTTACCAACTTGCTAACTTCCCTCCTTTTCACTAAACTCCCAAACCCCCTCACATTAAAGGATATTAACTTCATAAAAAA